ATCATCACCCACCCATACCCACACCAATACCAGCCAACCATGTTTAGCAAACATAGAAATTGTGACAAATGGATAAAACATAATTAATATCAATTGCCTGTTCAATCTGCAAGAAGGATGAAAACTCACACACAACCCAATAACATAAATATCAAATTTCACACCCATGCAACCCCTCCCCACCACACTCGTACCCACATGTAAGAGAAGAATGAAAACTCATAAAATAAAATAAATTGATTAACACAAAACCATGTGAGTAAAGAAGCATACACACACAACGCTAACATGAACACAAACATAATGCCCAAAAAAAACCCAAAAACATACACGCGCACACACACACATACACAAAAACACACACAAAAAAACCTAGAACACACACACACACATAGAAACACCCACACAACGTTGGCATAAACATACACACACGCGCGCGCGCACACACAAAAAAAACCTAGAACACACACACAAAGAAACCCAAAAAACGCATAGTAAGATAGAAGAGGAGAGAGAGAGAACGAGGGAGGGAGATACCCAGAACACACAATCAATGCGCACACACACATAGAGAAACCTAGAACACACACTCACATACGCCCAGAGAACCCCAGAAAATGCACAGTGAGAGAAAGTGGGAAAACACACACACACACAGAGAAAAACACACACACAAAATGCACAGAGAGATAAAACACACACAAACGCAAACGCACACTCAAGGACATACACATAAACACACATTCAAGCACACACACAACGCAAAACCACACACAAAAAACATGATTGAGAGACAAGGAAATAGCGTGATTGAGGAAGAGGGAGAGTGAGAGGGTAATCACTGACTTTGGCAATGATCGATGTCAACGTGTATATGTTATGGGGTGTAGGTAGAGATAGAGAGGAAGGGAGAAGACAGGTTATAATTTTTTTCTATGTGTGTAATTGGTGAATGGGCAAAGAGAGAGAGAGGTATCAAAGAGTTGAGTGAGAAAGAGACGATCAAATGTAAACAAGGAGATATGTAAGAGAGAGATGTGTGAGAGTTAGCAAAGAGGTATGTCAGAGGGAGAGAGAGAAAGAAAGATGTGTGGGATGCATCAAATAGGTATGTGTGTGTGTGAGAGAGAGATATAAAGACGTTGTGTGTGTGTTTAATTTTTAAAACGTGTGAGAGATGAGAGTATGAAATAGAGAGAGATAGTTATATAAGAGATAAACATCTGAAAGATAGGAGCATGAGATAAATACAAGCAGAGTTATATGAGATATGAGAGTCTTAGAGTTATAAAAAAAATGAGAGTCTTCCTCAAAATGTTGGGCGGGAAAAAAAATAATTTTGTGATCAATTAAGACTCAGATGAATAATCTTAAAACGATATTAACTGCGAAATTTCACACACTCAACACACCCCTTCAACCAAAATTCAAAAACTCAACACACATTCATAACACATAGTTGCACACACACATTCCAACACACGCATACACACATACGCGCTTACATACACACACTCTCATTTTATACACACTCTAGTTATACACATACTTCAATTTACGTACATATTCATGACTCAGTATACAGTGACTTTAGTCATGGCGTATCATCAATATATATATTAAATATGCACTAAAATTTGAAGATTTGGAACTATCGAATGTACTAATGCGTTTTATCATTGCATCCCACATATATTGATAATTTGCTTTGCAAAGTTGCATATAAGGTTAACAAATCTACACATAACTTGCAAATAGGTCCTTTTTTTTTTTTATTTAATGGTCAAGAGTGTCTAGACTAACTTATACACATCTCGACTAATCTCCTCTTCAATCTGTTCAAGGTATGTTATCTACGCTAGGACTAAGGTATTAATAAATAATAAATCTCTCATGACTTCGCTACAAAGAATTATCAATATTCAAATTCAAAACACGACATAACTTCTATAATTTAAGACCAAAACACAATCAAAGTTACTGAGATTTGAAATCAAAAGATGACATTACTTCTATAATTTAAGACCACAACACAATCAAAATTATTAATATTCAAAATCAAAATACTGCTCTCTTTTGTAATTTAAGACCACAACCAATTACTGCTCTCATTTAGTTAAAGGCTTAAAGCATGGCAACCACATAGTTTGTTGGTCCATTCAAATCTTCGATTCTGTTTCCATTAACTAGTTCAAAGCGTAATAATTATTCTTGTATATCGTGAAGTCACCAACTTCAAAAAATTGTCTAGTAAACATATTCATTAAACTTGATAGAAATTAACAAACTCACACACATTAATACATTCTGCCGTCCTTTCACGTGGATAGACATAACTAAATCGAAGCAGTGAGAATCTTTTGTCATTTCCAAGTGTCTAAAGAAAAAGGAACTAGCCTCCTCGTAGTGGCCAATGGACCTGAAAATTTCGTAGGCCCCTATCTTCCTATCCGAATACTTTGGGTAACAAATGTGTACCCTTGTCAACTTTAGGAATAAATAGATCACCACGAATTGAATAACTTGAACATGAATTAAAATTTTTCTTGACCCGACACACCCTACTACGTAATTAAAAAGTATGATATGACTTATTAACAATCTATTTGCTTGGAATGACTCCGTGGTTAAAGGGCTAAAAGGTGGCAACCACAGAAGTTTGTTGGTTCATTCACACCTTCGATTCTGTTTCGATTTGACTATCTAATCTAAAGCATAATTTTTCTTTCTTTATCATCAAATCTCCAAAAAAAAGTCTAATAAACACGCCGACTAACTTTCACATGAAATCAACATACCAACAAACACACACACACACAATATTATTTCATCCTTTCACGAGGACGGGAAAATATTGATCGTAATAGTAATAGTAATATCATATCATTATTATTATATAATATCATATAAAGGATTACATCAGTAAGGGTGTTCACATTATCCTATAGATATAAAATATGGTCTTTCGTCTTCATACGCGATACTTTGTAAAACAATTTTTTCTTACCCTATCCTATCCGATCAAGTATGATATTTTTACTCGATTTCTGACCAAGTTAATCGGGTAGGAAATCTGGTGAACACTTTTGTAGCTATTAATTTTTGGATCATTTTAATAATTCAATTAAATAACATTAACCACTTTAACAACATAATAAACCAATAAAACTAAAATCTAAAGCAATTACAACAATAATTACAATAAAACACAAGAAATCATAAATATCAATTCATCATAATTGCTACACAAATATAATAACAATTATTTTAAGTTTAAACCATATGATTAGAGAATTAGGATTTTTAGTTTTTATATATATAAATTAATGCGGGTATGGTCATGTAAGAATACGGAAATTAATGGTTATTTCGCATTCATACCCGATTTAATTAGCAGACCAAAAACTCTTTCGCAGTCTTACCCGATTTTTTGAACTAGTCGTTCAATAGGATCAGATAGGATAGAGTCGGGTAAGGTAGAGTCAAAAATTGCAAATAATTAAAAATTTGAACATGCACGGGGAAGTGGGGTCTTTGGTCATGTCCAAGTGTCAGTGATTAATTTGCTTTTGTAGTCTAAAAGGAAAAGAAACTAAATAGGCTCCTCGCACAATGGCCAACGGAATTAAAAAATCTGTAGAGAATTCCAAAAGAATCATACAGTTTTAATAAAGTTCAATAAGAATTCTTTATACAGTTTTGATAGAGTTCAATACAATTCATTAGTTCCCTTTAATAACTGATCTAACTACTCCAACTAAACCCCCTATCTTTTCCCAACCAATTACTGTCGGGAATTGGATGTTTGGGATCTAATTCTTTGATACCCCCTGCCGTATGTTTTCACTAATCAGAATAAGACACGTGTAACATTTATTTATTTATTATTTTTACGATAAAAGCCTAAAAAAAATCGAGACAAGGCACATAACTTCTAGTGCTATCCATAGAATTTACTCGTTGCTATTCCTACAGCATGCTTTGGTAGCGTCATGAAGTTAGCTCCAATGAAATGGTCACGATGATACAATGACCTATGAAATTGTAAACTCTAAGTTACAATTCATTACATTTTTATTATTATTATTATTATAAGGTGTCTAAGTTTATACTAATTATTCTCTCGAATTCAACAATTGGTTATCGTTATTCGTTGTTTGAACTGAGTTAGAGCGTGAACATAAAAAAACAAGGATGACTAATCTTTAGAGAGTGTAAAAAAAAATTGAACTTGAAGTCTCTGAATTATCAAATGTCAGTCTCAATTACTGACCACCCTTAAAGATTATAATCTCTTATATTCTAATTGGCTTTTCAAGTCTAATGAGATTGTTTTTATTGTGACAAAACAAAATAAATAATTAGACATATATTTGTAGTCATTAATTTTGAGCGTAGAAATTCTACATATTCTTTGAACCGCGACTCGAGTTTTAATTTGATATCTTGTTTTTTTAATTATCTCAATTTAATTCTTAAATTAAGTGAATCAAATTAATCAAACTCATTTTGCCTAATTATCTTATTTAACAAATGGAAAAGAAAAAAAAATTGTTGAGCTAATTGAAATGGAATATTGTGCCATTTGTTTTAACAAAGGAATTTTTCATATGTTTTAAAGGACATTAGAAAGAGGAACTAGTAGTTATTATTTCTACACTTTACAAATGAAGTTGATAAAATTGAAAATTGTTGCAATATTATAAAATTACAAAATAATTTACCCTCAATGGCAATTTTTCAGATATGCTGAGTTTAAATTTTAACAATACCTTAAAATTAGAATATAAAAAATTTATTCATCACCAATACCTTAATTTCGATATGGATAATCTGTCTTTCATCGGATCAAAATAAGGATTAGTCGAAATACACGTAAACTGACTCGAACATTTTCAATTATTGAAAAAATAATAATTTGAGGATATCTATTATATTTACTCTTAATCTAATCATCAACCATAACCTAGCAGTCATGAACCACTATAGCTAATGGTGATCCCTTGTGCAATTAGCTAGGAGAGAGCAATAAGAAGAAAGATAGAAAAAGGAAAAAAAGCAAAAAGAAAAGGACTAAACTCGGAAAAAGCCCCGTCGAATAGCGAACCTTCCATGCACGCGTTTAAAGAGACTCTTGGCACGTGCTTTTCACCTTGATTCGATATGGTCGTGCACGTGTCCTTCCTACTCCCAAGGCCCAGTCCAGGTGTTCTTTCTCTCTCTCCCTCTCTACCAACTTCTCTTTTCCCCTTTATTTAAAGTCCACCATAGACCCTAGCCCGTTAGACACTTTGATACGAGGTCGTTTTCACCCTCCGATTATCTTATCCTTGATTCTCGCCGGGGAAACACGAACTTCCTTTATAGGCATCCAATTGTTGACGCAGTGAAACTGAAGTCGCCGGAGATGGAGATTGAGACGGAGGTTCAAGGGAGCTACAGCTACATGGGGCGAAACTTCAGCGATTTGAGTATCAACGATGATTCCTCGGCTTTCAGTGAGTGTAACAGCGACAGATCCGGCGAGTTTTCGTCGGCGTCGTCGCAGAGCCGGAGGCTACTCATCGCCTGTGCTGCTGAGAACTCCGATAACCTGATACGCCAGCTTGTATCCGATCTCGAATCGAGTTCAATCGACGAACAGAAGCAAGCGGCGATGGAGATAAGGCTTCTTGCAAAGAACAAGCCGGAGAATCGAATCAGGATTGCTAAAGCCGGTGCAATCAAGCCTTTAATTACTCTGATCTCATCATCCGATCCACAGCTTCAAGAGTACGGCGTCACCGCAATTCTTAATCTCTCCCTCTGCGACGAGAATAAAGAGCTTATAGCCTGTTCCGGCGCAATCAAACCACTGGTCAGAGCTCTCAAAGTCGGAAACTCGACGGCTAAAGAAAACGCAGCCTGCGCACTTCTTCGATTATCGCAAATCGAAGAGAACAAAGTCGCAATTGGACGATCAGGAGCGATTCCACTGCTAGTGAACCTTCTAGAAAATGGAAATTTTCGCGGGAAAAAGGACGCATCAACTGCTTTGTACTCGCTGTGTTCGGTTAAGGAGAACAAAATCAGAGCCTTACAGGCTGGTATAATGAAGCCTTTGGTGGAATTGATGGCTGATTTTGGATCGAACATGGTAGACAAATCGGCGTTTGTGTTGAGCGTGTTGGTTTCTGTGGCGGAGGCAAGGACGGCTTTGGTGGATGAAGGCGGAATACCGGTGCTGGTGGAGATCGTAGAGGTGGGGTCGCAGAGGCAGAAGGAAATCGCGGTGGCGACACTGTTGCAGGTTTGTGAGGATAGCTTGACGTATCGTACTATGGTGGCCCGCGAAGGAGCGATTCCTCCCTTGGTTGCTTTGTCGCAGTCCGGAACCAATCGTGCCAAACAAAAGGTATACTCTTTTTTCAGTTTTTACGGTTTGGACAAATTGTTCTACTGTTGCCTACTATTCTATTGTCTACTATTGTATAATTTACTTCGTCCTAGTTCATCTATTAAAAAAAAAAATGCACCGGTAAATATGCTAATTAAGATGCCCTTGTTAATTTGAACCTATTTTTCAGTGCCACCAGTGCGTGCGGTAAGACTTGACTAGGTCTGTGTCCCCGGATTTACTTCTTCAATAGTTTAGATGGGATGGACAGATATAATTAATTTATATATCTAATTTAAAAACATAATTACTTATTGTTATTAGATAAAAAAAATAAATTTATTAACTAATTCAATAATTATAATGTATTGATTCTTAATTAGGTGATGCAACATTCCTCTCAGGAAAAAAGAACAAAAGAAGATTGTCAATCGGAAACTGTAAGAAAACATCATATTTCAATGGCTGCTGGTTATAAAAATAGACAAAAAATTATGTGCCTTCCGGTGACTACATCCTTTTTGACTTGACTAGGATAATAGCGGTCTCCTCTAATAGAAATTCTCAACCAACGAAGCAGTTAACGTTTCTTTTCCTCTTCCGGTAGGTAAGTAATCCATTCTTTAAAGGTGAAAGCGAAGCACCAACTTCCCAGTTTGATTCATAAAATTTTCAAAATATGTGGAAATAGTTTTACCCTACTTATTTTAATCCGAATTTCGTGTTTGGTTTAGCTTACAATAATAACTTGCCCTGGAGAGAGGGAGAGAGAGTCAACCAAGTGATTATGGCCATGAAAGATTTACACACTTCCTGATAATTGTTGTTGATTTATCCCTTATTTCTATTATTTTGCCCAATTTTTTGAGCCAAGTAATATTGCACGGGTTTAAAATATTAATTTGATTAATTATTATTATTAATTTAATTATGTATTTCCATATATATTGGATGATTGTGATGGATGAAGTTAAAGTCAGTTTTTTTTACTTGAATATTATGGATTTACTTTCGCTTTCATGAGAGGTGACCCTTTAGTGGGCATTAGATTATTTATTTATTTGTCCTGGACCTGAAAGTATCTCAAGGATGGCGTGCCATTTTGTCGTTTGGTGGTGTTTGATTTTTCCGACAGGCGGAGGCACTGATTGGGCTTCTACGGAAACCAAGATCCGGCGACTCCGCTGCCACTGCCAGAACATCTGAGGTGTCTGTTTAAAGTGTCCCCACATCGACATGCCCCTACCATGTTATCAAACAGTTGAGAGAAGCAAAGGAAAAGCTGTAAATATCCAAGTTAACAAAACAAAGTTTGTAAATTGTCAATGTTTGGTTTTGGTTTTGGTTTTGGTTTTGGTTTTGGCTTTTGGGAATTTTGCAAGTGCAATAGTGTGTTGTCTGATGTGCAATTACAGTTTTTAATTGCAAAAAAATATGGGATATGGAAAGGAAGTGGTGTTCTGCCCTCACATATCCATTATATTCGAATTAATGGAAAAAGAAAAAGATTTCGAAAAACTCGGTGGGGGTAAGGGCTTATAGGTACTTTAATATACTTTTATATTCAATTTTTGTAAAAAATAATATTATGCTTATTAAATTTCTCATCTGAAAATTTTCGTAAAGAATAATATTATGTTTATCAATTTTTTTGTTTCAAGTGATGTGGCATAATCTTTATCATTGGATATTAATAAGATTCACCTATTTGATAAAAAAAATTGTCATATTATTTCGGATGAAAATTTGGTAAAAAGTTTTTATCAACATAACATTGTTGATATCAAGAGTCACTTAAATTCATAGCAGGGAGGCCAAAAATGTGAGTGCAAAGGCGCGATATTTTTGGCTCCCTCTGCTCGCCTATAAGTAGAACAGGGTTGGCTCATATGGAAAAAAAAAAATATGGGTTTTAGGCCCTAAATTTTTAAAATGTTCCATAATTTTAGGTACATTACTAGCTCACAAAATAATTAAATTCATTAAATTTTAAGTTTTACAAAAAAGTTTCAAAAAATTAAATTCAATCAAAAATTTTATTACAATAATTTAAGCCTAAAATTCAATTCAAAACATTAAAACTTAGAAATTAAAAAAAATAAAAAATCAACTCATATTTACTCTCATCTATCCTTTTTCTTTATGTGATAAAAGACAAAAACAAAAGTTAAAATCTTTCTCAACAATATTAACACATTTTTTTTTCTTTCTTTCACATAAAAATTTAAAAATAAATTAATTTTTTTAAAAAAATAAAATAAAAAAATAAAAAAAATATTCATTTGATGTTTCTACTTTAAGCCTTAAATTAACTTTGAGTCGCCCTTGACGTAGAAACAACGACCATCGAACACTCTGCCTAACAAGTCTCTCCTGCAACATTTGTTGTTAAAAATAATAATATTGAAAGGGATCTAAGAACATCTTCAAACTAGTGAAATAGCTCAAATTTAGCATATCAAAACCAAAAATCATGCTCCAACAAATTATGTTCACATATTATAAAATAAATTTTTGTTACAGTGATACTCTAAATATAATATCATTGTAGCAACTTGTAAAAATAATTTATATTATTTTCTCTCTCTTCCTCTCTTTTCTTTCATTTTCTCTGTCTCTTTTCACTATTTTTAAAAAAATAATATAAAAGGAATGAGAAATAATATTTAATAAGAATATTTAAAAATATAGAAAATTTGTTGGAGTGTGTATAAAAAAAGTGAATAGTTAAATAAAAAATATTATTTTTTGAATGGGTAAAATATATTTTGCTGTCGAAGATGCTTTAACCGGAAGAAGTGAGAAAAAATCAGAGGAAATGTGGGCCAGAGGGTTTCATCCTCATAAGTGCTAATATAAGGTTTTTTTTATGAGAGAGAGAGAGAGATGAGAAATTTCAACTTATTAGTGGTGATTTATTAATATAAAAATAATGAACCAAGATGTCATTTTCTATTCCTCGTTGGACGGCTTCATTCACCGTGATGCATGCCCGCCCGCCTTGCATAAAAATAGAAGAGGTAGGCGGGCTTACACATCACCAGTCCCTCTTCCACATGTATAATGTGTTTATTTTATAGTTAATAAATCAATCACAAAAAAAAAAGTGGAAGATTTGATGGCGTAAATCAACGGGGATGAACAAAAGGTGCACGTAACATAGAATTATCGTGGATCAGAACTACAAGGCTCGTGTATGATGTTTTTTTAGAATATTGAGGGGATTTAAGGGGTGTACACAGTGAAAATATAATAGTTCACCAGCTCAAGAGTTCGGCTAGTCCACTTTTCAATTTAGGTTCTTGCTCCTTCTCTTCTCTATTGATTAGTTGAATGTAATACAAGACTGTGCTAAACTTATTAGGGTTTTTCTCTTTTCTTTTTTTCCTGCCTCACGATGAAGCGTTGCATAGTATTTATAAGGCTGCCCTCTATTCCGTGGGATTTCGGTCGAGATCTTTGTCTATTATTTATGGGATCCTCCTTGATTTTAGGAGAGAATCTTGATTGGTTGAGAGTTTCATGCATGGGGCCCAATTCCCGTAGGCACCCAGCTATTTCCTAGTTGGTTCAACTACAATCTCTCCAAGGGAAACTCCACCCTTGGTTTTCTGAGTTCCTCATGTCTTTCCTGACTTCCTGACCCGACCTCCTGACTTGACCTCACAGCTAGGGCTTGTTTGAGGTATCATCAGACTAAATGCATTAATACTTTTTTTTTTCTGGTCTTTGAGGCAATCATTTGGTATGTGGATAATTATGTGTTATATGTGCATGCCTTTGTCCAAAAAAAGTAATCATTCATGCTTTATTCATATTATTTTTTGTCAAACAATGCCACTTTAAGTGGTATTTTCACATGAAGATTAGAAACCGTTTGCTTTGAAAGGTAAAAGCTTCACAAACAAATTGGATCATAAGATTCTGATGTATCATATTCAACACTTTTCATATTCGTTAAACGTCAGTCACTCTTGTCCATTGTTCTTTTAAAGATATGTTCTGATGGTGTAAATTGATTTGAATGAGTAGAAGGTAGGAATTATACTTGGCAGCTTGGATCTGAGCTAGTAGGCTCGTGTGAGAAGTATTGCTAGGAGTTTGGGATGATTAACACAATGAAAATATAGTGATTCACCGACTCGAGAGCTCGGCTAGTCCACTATTTAATAGAGGCTCTTACTCCTCTTGTTTTAATGGTGAGGAGTGGAATTTACAGTGTGCCTTCTCATGTAACTAGGGTTTCTTGCCCCATTCTGCAGGCATTGTACAGTTTATATAGTATATTTTTTATCCCTAAAGGATCTGCAGCGAGATCCTTGTTCTTCTTCCACGGGATTTTCCTTGATTTTAGGAGGGGATCTTGAGTGGTTGAAAGTCTCATACCTTGATCCCTGCTCTTTTGCTATTCTATGGACTCCTCTTATTGGCCAACTGTTCTTTTCTTGACTTCTCTGATATTTCATCCAAAAAGGACTCAGGATTGGGCTTCAGAGATCTGAGTTCCCTGTCTGACCTCGTTTCCCAAGTTAATACTTAGTTAAAACTCTTATTCATGTATCATCAGTTGTCCCCCAACTCTTGGTTCAAGCAAGCTTAAGCAAGGGCTGAATTCAAGCTAGGGCAGAATAGGCCCTCATTTGGCGACCTCGATGTTCGTGCGACCAGATTTTCAATAGTTACCAGTAATCATTTCTCTTCTCGTTTCTTGCACACGTTGCCCACTTCGAATCCCTTAGCTTTAAATACACCTGGATCAACGATCTCTTTCTCACTCTTCGAATTCTCTGGTTTTTCTCTTTTTCTTTCTTGCGATTTCATCTTCCCCGATTTGTCGTAGTTCTTAGGGTTTCTGAAAGAGAGGATTTCCCCTAATTTGATTTGAAGGCTTAGTGAGGCTTGGTTTTGAATTTTGTTCTCGAGCTTTAATCTATCATTAGTTCTCGTTTAGATACGTCTTTCATCTCTTTCCCAGTTCCTTGTTCTGGATCCCTCAAATCTGAGGTGATTATTGCATTTTTAGACGTTTCAGTTCTGCTATTTTAGGAATCGAAACCTTTCACTATCTCGTATCCCCCTCTTTCTGGATCTTTACTCTACGGCTAGGATTTTTGTTATTAGACATTGGTGTCTTGCCCCCCTGACTCTCAAGGAGTGTTTCTTAAAGGTTCTCCGGCTTTATAGGTCTTTTAAGCTTCTTTTCTCTTACCCAGTTATGTCCACCTCCTCTGAAGCCACGGGCTCGTCCATCTCTCTAATGAGGGATAGGTCCGCTGAGGAGGACTCTGATCTGGGAGATATGGGGTAGAAAATTGATGACTTTCCCGGCGTGGATTCTGTCGACGTTAGGGCAGGTTCTGAGGAGTCTCATTTGGCCATTCCCCCTACTCCTAAAGCCCTTAGCAAGGGCTAAACCAAGATGAGTGGTGTAGAGATCTCTAGCAATGCCGAAGGTGGAGGCGCTACTCCTAGGGCTACTGAGCTCGTGGGTCTTAGTGACCTCGTTCCTTCTTATTTGAAGGTTCTAGCCGCTCGTTTTGGTTTTCCTTGAGATGTGCAGTTTTGGAATCCAGACATGTTCACCTGATATAATTCTTCCATCCCCTAGAAAATTTGTTTCTTCATGGCCGCTTTTGAGAATGGTCTTCGCTTTCCCATGCATCCCTTTATCAAGAGTGGTTTGCAGCATTTCAATGTCTGTCTTCTTGCCCAACTCTCTCCTAATTTTGGGGGTGTGCTGGTGGGCCTCCTTGTTTTCTTCAAAAAGCACAATCTTGGGGTTCTTACTGTACCTTTGCTCATGAGATTTTTCAATGTCAAGTACACTCCTTCTGACGATTTTTTGTATATCTCCAAAGGCGTGAAAACTAAAGTTCTTATCTCCGACCTTCCGAGCTCCCACAAAGGTTGGAAGAAACTTTTCTTTTTTGTGCAGGGGAGAGACTAGGAGTTCAATTTCGACGATGTGACAGATACTCTTCCAGTTCCTCGAGGCTGATCTGCCCCTGACAACTTGGGTGAGCCTTTTCCTGAGCAAGTTAAGATAAACTTTAGTGTCTTTCTTGGCTAACCTTGTTCCGCTGATTTCATTTTTTAGGCATCAAACCAGAACTCAGTGTTGCAGATGAGCAAGTTTTAAGGAATTTGGTAGACTGCAACTCAGAAAAATATTTAGAGCTTATCAAGCATCAAGTTCTTGTAGAGCTTGGATTCAGTCCTCATGAGGTGAGGATTGAGAACCTCATTCCCCTTTTTGCTGTCAGTGTTGAGGAGGTAGCAGGTTTGTCTCCCTTTTTTTGCCTTTAGGCCCTTTTGCTTTCTACTCTTCTCTTCTTTATTTTTTTTAACTTATTATGTGCTTCCAGGTTCTTCCACAATACAACCTTCCCAAGAAACGCTTGAGGCCAAGGTCGTTTTGCTAAAGAAGAGCAGGAATGAGGCCAAGCGTAAGGCCGAGGTCGGCTCTGGTAGCAATATCCTTCCTCCAGCTAAGGCGTCCAAGCTGGGTGTGTCTTTCGTTTCTTCTACCTCTACCCAAGTGGCGCTTATTCCACCACCAAGCGTTTCGCAACTTGCAGAGGTCTCTTGTCTCTAAA